CATACAATAAGACAGACTGGTAGACAGACAGACAGACAGACAGAGAGAGAGAGAGAGAGTGAGAGAAGAAGAGAGAGAGAGGGAGGAAAAGAGAAAGGGAGAGAAAGAGAGAGAGATTGTAAAAATTCAAATAAAAAAGAATTAAGAGGGGGATAGAAGAAAAGAGGCCCATGATAAACGAAAAAATAATCTAAAGAGAGGAAGGGAGAGAAGGAGAAAACAAGAGAGAGAAAGATTGAATGATTGAAGATGAGATGATAAAAGACAAAAAAAATTTTTAAACTACAAAAAGCAATAGAAAACAATAGAAATAGATAAAGAGATAGAAGAGAGAGAAAGAAAGAGAGAGAGAGAGAGAAATAAAGCTAAATAGGTAGAGAGATAGAGAGAGAGAGGAAAAAAAACATACAGATAACAAAATAAAAAACAAGAAGTAGTATGTACATTGAAAAATCAAATTTTAATATATTTTAGGACAAAATAAAACAAAATGGAGGAGTTAAAAACTGATATGGATAGAACAATGAGAAAAAAATATACGGCATAGTTGTAACTGGCGGTGAGCTATGGAAATGGAGACGAATTAGTGATCATCATCCCCATCATCATCAGCATCGTCATCATCATCGTCATGGTTATCATCATCATCATCATCTTCGTCATCATCATCATCGTCGTCGTCTGTTCATACCTTCGTTTTCAAACGTTCGTCGATGAATAGAGATTCACGAAGTGGTTAAAAAAACTTAATCATAAAAATTAAAAAAAAATTTAAGATAAACGTTTCATCCAAAAGGAAAATAATTTTTCAAGAATTTAATCGTCATGCTTGGAGAAACCCTCGCCTTCTCCGTTATCAAAAATCGCCAGCCCCTTCAACTGAACCTTCTCTCTTATATTCTACTTTCTATCATTGTTTTTATTTTTTCATATACTTCAATTTATTTTTATTTTTATGTTAAGTAAAATGGTATTCAATTTTTAAATTATTAAAGTTTTTTTAATTTTTAATTTTTCCATTCATTTTATCATGGCACATTTTTTTCTTATCTTTTTGAATAAACTAATACATTCATCTTGCCGTCTGGAAAGTAAACGAAATACAAACATAGAAACCATAAAAAACAAAAATGAAACAACATCAACATCGTCAATGAAAACATCATCAACAACAACAAAGACATCATCAACAAAAACAACAACAAACGCTACAACAACAACTTAACAAATATGTAGAGACCATGCCAGATTATCCAAGAGAGCCAGCATCATTAGCCGCTTATATTCTACCCCTCAATAATAAGTCCTTGTTTAGGCCTTAATGAAATCACATTCACAACATGTTTGCATGCATATGCTTGTAAATTTTATCGCAAATTATGCGTATATGTGCTTAAACATACACAAAACTGAGCGGACTCGAGAATTACGATGACTATATTGAAAATTTTAAACTAAAAATGTGTGTGCGTTTGTCTGTGTGTACGTTTTGTGTGTGTGTTTGTGTGTGTGTGTGTGTCTTCGTGTGTATAAATGAAAAACGGATTTGAATGAATGAAATAACCAAAAGAGGATGGTTAGAATACAGGTATAAGAGAAAAATAGAAGGAACTCAGAGGAAAACTTGTTAAAAAAAATGAAAAACTTTTGCAAGAAGCATCAGTGAAAAATTTAAACAAAAACGAAAAACAAAAAAAACAAATACGAAAAACGAAAAACGCCATGAGTAAAATAAAAAAACTGAAAGGCGAGTGTATGAAGAGAGGGAAGATTAAGTTGATAAAAAACTAAAAAAAAAACCGAAAGAGGTTGGATACTTGGAATGAAAAAGAGCAGCAGAAACACACACAAAGACACGCACACAGACACGCACACACAGACACCCACACAGACCAACAAGTAAGAAAAAAACTTAGAACCCACAACACAGACTCTAGATGGCATGCAGTTCTCGCTAAATCATTCATTGGCTAGATGGACTGAAATGATTTTATTCGCCATTAGCTAAGCCATACATCAACTTTTCTACCTTTAACGCGGTTTATTCGTTCACTCCTTCGTTTACTCGTTTTTGTTTGTTTGTTTGTTCATTTGTTGTTTTTTGTCGTCTGCGGTTCAATTGCAAAATTCAGTTTTGTTTCGCAAGCGTTTCACTTTTTTAGTAATTATTCGCGTTTTGTGAAACTTTTTATGTAGAAAATTTTACATCACCAGAGATGCCTTTGACATTTTAATTTCTTAAATAGAAATAAGTGTGTGTGTTGTGTGTGTGTTTGTGTGGGTGTGTGTGTGTGGGTGGGTGTGTGGTGTGTGTGTTATTGCCATCTTCATTATCTTCACCATCGTTATCACTTTCTCTTTCAGGCCCCGTCCACGGAAATTCTGATGCTATTTGACACGACAATCAAGTAAAAATGACACGCATGACGTCAAGAGTGCTGTTGTTGTTGTTGTTGCCGCTGCTGACGTCATCACGTGTTAGTGACGTAATCACTGTTGTTGCTAGTTGGGTTGTGATCATTTGTGACATCAGTTGTTATCGTTGTTATTGTTGATTTGTTGTTGTTGTTGAGAGTGTAGTTGCTGTTTGGATGGTGACGTCATTTTTGTTTTAGGGTCTTTTTTTGTTATATTTTTTTGTTTTCGGTGGTTGTGAAATATCGTGTCTGTGAATGTTTAATGTTAATGACGTCATTTTTGCCTGCATTGCAGACCACGCGTCGTTGTCGATTGCACATTTTTTTGCATGTTGTCGTTTGTATGTTTGTTTGTATGCTATTTGCATACTTGTTTGTATGCTATTTGCATACTTGTTTGTATGCTATTTGCATACTTGTTTGTATGCTGTATGTATGTTTTGTAAACATTTGTATGTGCATTGTAAATACAATTTTTGACAATAATTAAATTTTTTAACCAAAAGGGAATTTTTTTTTCATAATTTCTCATATCAAAATTTTTTCAAACGTTCGCGCGCTTCGACACAATTCAAAATAGTTCTTATTTATTATTCCAGTTCGAGATTTATTAATTTTTATTCATTCATTCATTCACTCACTCACTCACTAATTCACTCACTCATTCATTCATTCACTCATTCATTTATTTATTCATCCAATCATCCATTCATTCGTTCATTTAAATCTTCAAAAAATAAAAAATCCATTTTACTCTCCAAAATTTAGCTCCCTATACTATCTATCTTATGCCGTCATTCATTTATTCTTTCCATCAATCATTCATTCCTCCTGTCGTTTATTTATCCACTCAGTCTATCCTTCAACCACTTATCCACCAGTTAAGAATGCATAAGACGGCACATTGCATGTTAATTGTGTTATATTGCTGTAATAATTTAGCAGTACCACCAGCCATATTTCTCGCCTGCCATCCTTCGCTTCGGCCACTCTTTTTTTCTTCCTCTTCCTCTTCCTCCGTGTCTCACGTTTTCTGGTTGTGTTTGTGTGTATGTGTGCGTGTTGTGTGTGTGTTTCGTGTGTGTGTTTTGTGTGTGTGTGTGTGTGATAGAGAGTGTGTATGTGAGTGTTTGTGCTGTGTGTAGAACAAAACAAAATATAAGATGACTGACATAGTTTAGGCATATTTCCAAAAAATCGGATTGTTAATTTTTTTCTACTCCCTCTCTCTCTCTCTCTCTCTCTCTCTCTCTCTCTCTCTCTCTCTCTCTCAACCGCACATGTCGACATCATATGGGCGTCTAAGCCACTAAACACAAAACTCACTTCAACTCACTCCACCTCAAAATAAACCTGAAAAATAAATTTCTAGCTAAAATCGGCTTTCGTACAAAAAGTCTCAAATTTTATTTTTCAACATTTGGTTTTGTTTCGGCCTGCCGAGTAAAAGTTGTTGATGTGCATTGAAAGGAATTTTCCTGGCGTTGGTTATTCGGTCATTTAAAGGTGTTGACTGGCATTCTCGTGGGCATATTTGTTTAAAAGTGACGCCCACCAACATTGTTTTGTGCCATCTTTTCAGCATGTCTGTGGAGGAAATTATTTTGCGGAATGTTTTTTTTTAAATCAACGAACGATGTCTGGAAAATTATTTTAGTGGATTGGCTGCTATAGTTAGGGATGGATTGAAAGTTGAAAAATTTGAAAGAAACAAAAGATAAAAACCTGAAAATGAATGAATAAAAGAATGGTTGAATGAATGAACGAATGAACAAACGAACCGACGAACAAATTAACGAACAAACGAACAAATGATATGTTTAAACAAGAAATGAACGCTGAAAGGTGATAAAGGAAAAATAAATTAAAAAGAAGAAAAGAAATAAATGAATGATGGAGCGAACGAAATAATGATTATGAAGACAGATAGGGAGAGACGGATAGACGGATGGTTGAGCAAACAAATAAATGAGTTAATAAAGGAATGAATGAACAAGTGAAGAAATAAACGAATAAATGAATGAATGAATGAGCATGTGATTGATACGTAATAATTAGTTTAATGATAAGGACATGCTTGGAAGAGTATTTACGAACTGGGATTTAGCATGTAATACATGATGATTTCAAGAAAAATTGACGCGTGTCCTTTTTTTTAAAGACGAACATTCTGAATGCTAATTAATGATGTTGTTGCTCATAACGTTGATATGTTGTTTGTGTTTGTCTTGTCGTTGTTTTTGTAGTTGTAGTAGTAGTAGTTGTTGTTGTTGACGTTGTGGTTGTTGTTGTTGTTGATGATGTTGTGGTTGTTGTGGTTGATGTTGTGGTTGTTGTTGTTGTAAATGTTGTTGTTGATGTTGTGGTTGTTAATAATTCAGTTCAGTTAACTACATCATTTGTCGTGTATATTTTAAATTGAATTTATATTTTAAAATAATCTATTGCGTTCTTCTCTAAAGTTATTTTTTCCGGTTTTGGTAAACTTTTTAATATATTTTTTCAATCACGACGAATTTTTTAAACTTTCTTTCGGGCCAAACAAAAAAATTGTTGTATTTTATCAGCCAAAATAAGATAAAATTTTATAAGAATAAATAAATTTTGTTGGTGTTGGTTTTGCCAGATTTAACACCCGATCACGTTCCGCACTGCATTGTGTTATACATCGAAAAAATTTGTATTTTTAGTCTTCAACTTTTATCATTAGTGTACCTACCTGGTATTTATATCGTCTTGTATCTATTTTGCATCTATTTTTTGTTTTTATTGAGTTTTATTTGAATTGTATTTGTATTGTGTTTGTATTGCATTGTCATACTTTGTGTATTTGTATAATTTGAAGTATCTTTTCAACAAACATAGTGTCAAAAAACTAGACTTCCGTGTGCACACGCACACGCACGCATACACACACACGCGCGCGCACACACACACACAAACACTCACGGCTTATTGTATTGGAAAATGTTTTATGTCATACAATAACTTTTTGTAGCATTGTACGAGACGTCATTCTGCATTGTTTAGTTTTGCATCCTTATTGAAATACCCTTTTTGTATTTTGTATTGTGAAATTTTTGTATATTTTGTATTAAAATAATTCTTTACATTCTGTATTGAAGTACGATTCTTTTTGTTTGTTTTGTAAAAACTTATCTTATTCAAAAGCATTTCGTGTATCCCGTCTTGAAACAGCATGTAAGCATTCTGTTGCAAAATACATTTTTGCATTCTGTATTAAAATACCCATACCGCTTATTTTGTATTTTGTACGGATGGTATTGAATGATGCAGAGCGCGCTGCTTCGTTCTTTATACCATCTGATCGTTTGATCATTTTGGGGCATCACAATTTGCTCTGACATCACTCAAACTGCGACATGTGTTTGTTGCCTGTCTGTGTTGTTGATGTGTTTCGTTGCTGTTTCGTCTCGTTCTGTTCCGATTCGCTCTGTTCGTTGTTTGTTGTCAAATTACAACACTTCTAACCGTGAAAATGTCAGCAACTACATCAACAACATCATCACTAACAACAACAACATTAACAACAACAACAACAAAATGGTGTTTTAATGAGCGAGACGACAGCATAAACAAGTTAAATGTGTCGCTAACGCATTGATGGTTCCACAAACGCATGAACGGCAGCTTCTAATGAGATTTACAATGTCTCCTAACTTAATTGAAATGATTGCCCATGAAAAAAGATGTTTTTTCATTAGGCATACGCATTGAATAAACTATTGAAGATGGTTTCAAAGTTTAATTTCAAGTGACGTGAAAAGTTGAAAAAATAACAATCATGTAGATGAAAACATAGATGAGAGAGAGAGAGAGAGAGAGAATAAAAAAAGAAAAAGAGAAAAAGAGAGAGAGAGAGAGAATGGGAGAGGAGCCAAATAAGAGCGAGATTCGGCAGTAGCAAGCAAGGCAGAGCATGACAATTTGTGCCATGGAGGAGTCTTAAGACGCTCCTCTCATAAGATGCGATTCGGATTATTCTAATGTCTAATCTCTTTCTGATCTATAGCCCTACCTACATAAACACATATACACACTAAAACAAGCACACACACACACACATACACATACACACACACACATACATACATACATACACACACTATAAGGCAGACAGATTTTAAAACGCCGTAACATACCTAAAGAACAAATACCTAACAATTGAAAAAGTGTATATACGTGCACGTGTGTGTGTGTGTGTGTTTATTTGTCTGTTTGAGAGTGTACATTAGCGTGGGTTCGTGTTAATCTCCACTTCTTGCGCGCTTACGTTATTATTGAGGATGTTATCTCAGGGCAGGCACGTGTTCAGAAACGTACAGATCTGCGTAGACAAAAATGTGTACGCAAATTCGTGTGTACGTGCGTTCTATACATACGTTAATGTGCCTGTGTACATGAACTGTATAAAGTACTACAGTATGAATAATAAATACAATAAATTTGCAATGCCATGCTTACACGTATACAGATATGCCATAATATTAATTACAGAATACATAATGTGTACGTAATTTTGTCTACAAAATCACGTACAAATAAGACAGTACAAAATCACGTACACACAGGCACTCAAGACAAATTTGTTATAGTAGAGAACTACAAATTCCCTAATATTCCAATCTTATATAACCTTCAAATGCCTTTGATCGATTACAGCCGGAAAAAATGACGTCATTCGCTTTGAACGTTCCTACAATTTTATAGCGCCTTATTCTACCCATATATTATAAATTGATGCTGCTGCTGCTGTATACAAAGTTGAGAATTTTGTTAGTGTTTTCCAGTTTTATCCGAGACATTACATTTTTATTTCAATTAATGTCATCAGTTTAGTAGTCAGGTCTTCGTGTGTTTATGCTGTTAACCTGTGTGTGTATATGTATGTGTATGTGAGTACGTATGTGTATGTGTGTGTATGTGAGTATGTGTATGTATGTGTATGTGTGTGTGTGTGTGTGTGTGTGTGTGTGTGTGATAAATCTGTCATTTTGTTTCAAATAACAAGACATCGAAATCAGTTTAAGAGACAGAAATGCATGTATGTCCTGTGAGTGGATTGCATTTGAGGTTTGATCCGGACATGATTTTGACATTTAATATATACCTATAATTTATGAATATCTACAAAGATACATGAATGCTTGTGTATTGTATGCGGAAGTTGTATGTGTGTGTGTGTGTGTGTGTGTGTGTGTGTGTGTGTGTGTGTGTGTGTGTGTGTGTGGTGTGTTTGAAGACGACAGTTAAAAGATGCAACGGATTCATTCATGTGCCTGCCAGACATAAGTAATCATACACGCCAACAGTGTAGGGTTTATAATTAAAGAGAACTTTTGTATGTGTGTGTGTGCGTACATATGTGTGTACGTATGCGTGTGTTTAATTGTCTGTTTGTATGTATGTGCATGATGTTGAATTAACGTTCTTAAGTATATGTGTTCAGAGATGTGTGTGTGTGTGTGTGTGTGTGTGTGTGTGTGTGTGTGTGTGTGTGTGTGTGAGCATTTTTATGTAATGACGATTTAAGTATTTGTGTATGCGTATGAATGTGTAACAATTATGTGTGCGTGTGTCTGTGAATGTGTGTGTGTTTGTGTGTGTAAATTTGTGTGTGTGTGTTTGTGTGTGTGAATGTGTCTTTATGCGTATATCATTTTGTATATTTGAAAAGTTGTATCTATCACTTTTTAGAGTATTGGCGTGAATTAAAGACAAAATACACACACACACACAAACAAACAAACAAAAACACACACACACAAAAACAAACAAAGATACATACACACACAAACAAACAAAGACACACACACACATACACAGAAACAAGCAAAGACACAATCAATCGCATGCATACATATTCGCGCCCATCCATCTTATTTCTCTCACATTGGAAACTAATTAATTATGTTACATACACACACATGTGCTTTGCTGCAATATCTTTAATAATATTAATGATAATCAATAATATCAATAATAATGAAAAATATCATTATTAATGATATTTAATAAATTATTTGGTAGAATATAAAAAATTAACAAAATAGAATTACAAAAATCAGTACGACTTAACACGAGCTGAACTAGAAGGATGCATTTTTATTTTGTTTGCTCTATAAGTTTATCAATTTTAATTAATATGCAAATATGCAAGCAGGGCAATGAAGATTGATTGGTTGGTTGGTGGAATAATGATAACGATGATGATGGTGGTGATGATGATGACTGTGATAATTACCCATATGATAATGAGACGGTGATGAATACAAACACAGACATATAAACATGTGTGCAACACACATTCATAAACACACGAAAAATGTACAACACATATTTTTTATACATTCACACAGACACGCACACGAACAAACACACACATACACACACGCAAACACACACACAAACAGAAACAAACATTTAGTAGCCACGTCTTAAACAATTGTCTCGGCAATCAATTAGGATTTTCATCCGAAACGACCAATTTACTGGGTTTGCTTGGCTTTTATAAACCAAAGTATAAGGCTACTCTGTTATTATTATTATTATTATTATTACTATTCTTTTTAGCATTATTTATCACCATCAGCTTAATGTAATAATAACATTAACAATAATAATAATAATGATGAAAATAATAATAATGATAATAATAATTATAACATTACTCTGAATACTGAATTGATTATGAAATAAAAAGAAGTTTTAAAAAGTGAATTTTGATACAAAATTAAATAAAATTTTGAAAAAATGCGAGCTGATATCGTGTTCCCGGATGAAACGTATTGGTTTGCAGACAGGCTAATTAATGATGAAGCTTGCTTGCCATTTCAGTAGAATTAAAGCCTCATAACCATTTTTATATGAAATACTTACAATATTTATTAATCATAAATATAGTTACCAAGTAAAATAAACATTTTTTTTTATAAGTTATATACTTTAAATTACTACTACTGCTTTCTAGAACAACTGGTATTGCTGCTACTACCACTACTACTATACTACTACTACTGCTGCTGCTACTTCTACTACTACTTTTACTACTACTACTGGTGTTGTTTTAAAAGTTAATTGGTTTCAAAAGTTTATTAA